TCAAAGCTGAATGGAGGATGGTCCTCATATTCCCTTAGTCCTAAATATCACCAGAATTTGTCGTTTCAAAGAATTATAGATTATATATTTGCATTATTTCTGCACCTGTGATATGCAAGCAGAAAACGAAATTTCCGCCCAGTGTAGTTACATTTTGTTCTTTCTATACTTTCTAGAGGTTAAGGCTCTTCTGCTGCTGAGCAGAAGTAATGAAAGCCCAGATGCCCCTACCGTCTCTTGCTGGATTTCATATGGAGAAGGACAGTGGAGATATCTGACACTTGTATCTGCCTTTTCTACGTGTAGGACTGGAAAAGAAATTAATTAGTTTCACATTTTCATGTGAAACTATCACTTCTACACCTTCTGAGCCTAGCAACTGAATAAAGTACATTGTGCTTTGAAAATATATTTCCAAGCCTTAAGATTCATTTCAGCAAAGAAAAAGTATGCACAAAATTATGGATGCACTAAAATAAGTGTGATTGCAATACATGGACTGGAAATATATACACAGATTCACATTAACTAATTGGGAAAAATGCATGATAGATATATATTAAGAAAAATCCAACATTCTAAAGTTGTCATAACTTTCTGAATATTCAAAAAATGTGTACAGAAGTGCACAAAATTTATTGATGGGAAGAAGAAAAGTTGTTACAATTTACAATCTAATGCAGAACTGAGATGAAATAAAATTATTCATGGGAATCTGAAAATAACACTGTCAGAGCTGCATAGCCATAGCTGGAAGGATGGGGACCCTTCTGCTCTGCAAAGATGAAACATGCCAGTCTCTCACCAACTCCTAGGTGTAAAGGAATTGGAAGGGAACCCTTTTCTTGCTAAGTGTTTCAAAACTATGGAATATTGGAGAAAGACAAGGAACTCAAGTGCCTCGTCTGTGACCCACATTGTGGTGTTTAGAAATAAAAATATGGGGGCATGATAGTTTAATAACTATGTAAAGCTGAGGAGGAGAATTTCGGTCCCCTGGGCAGGATATAGCTAGCTACACAGGACTCTAGAATTGGTTTGCAATCTGGCTACCCTTCCTGTTTTCGTGCAGCAACTGACCTCAGAAAAAAAGTCTCCTACTGGTACAAATAGGAAATATTTTTTTCAAGCATAATTTTGGCTCAGGAGAGACTTTCCAAATGGTCTAATTGGACAGCAAATGTTAATCCTAAACCCCATGTGTACAAGCCCCAAAAGAAAAATCACCCAGTAGTTAAGCTTGAAAAAAGCCTAATTGTTGTGGCTGTGTGCAAGTGCATGCAGTTATGCATGCTTATGTGTTTTCCTAGTTATGTTAAGTAATGTGATGTGTATGAAAGCAAACATTCATTCATGAATGCATTGTATGGGTGGGCTGTTGTGTGAGAATTGTAAGAATTGATTGACTGATTGATTGATTGATTTGGAACATTTGTATCGCGTCCTTTCTCAGCCTCCAAGAGGGACTCAGGGCAGCTACCAACAGGTAGCAATTCGATGCCAAAACATTTTTTTTGTTGTGTCAGGAGCTACTTGAGAAACTTCAAAACAATAACTACCAAAACAATAAAATACATAATAAAATACAATCCATACATAAAACCATATAAATATAGATTAAAAGAGTTCACCAAGTTAAAAATGTTATCCAAATCCATCCAAATTGTGGTCCAATAAAATCTCATCATTGCCAATAAAAGCAGTCTAATCTGCAAATGCTTGCTCGCACAGCCAGGGTTTAAGCTTTTTTCGGAAGGTCATTGATCCTGGAGTGTGGTCAACAAAGTAGAGTGGGATCCAAAGACCATTGTTTATTTCATAGTAATAGAAATTCTAGTTATTCTCTTTGGTGTGATGATAGTTCTGATGGCCTAAAAATAGGATTACTCCTAGATGAGAAATCTCTCAATAGAGGATGGCAGGGAAACCTATATCTTTGTAAATGCACTGTGGTAGTAACTGTATCTTGCTGGTGGCCATTTGCTTAGGAGGAACATTATTCTCATGTCCTAATTGGGAGCTTCCAAGAACAGTGTGATGGTTGACTTGAGAAGCAAGATGCTAGATTATTTGCTTTTTTGGTAGCATAGAGAGGCACTGTGGCCTTTTTGATCAGGTTAATTGTGAGTCTCTGCTGTTATTTTTGACTGTGGAAATCTAGAACTTTGCTTTGTATACTTTCGATTAAAAATTGAATTAAAGTGGCTGAATGGCTTGTGGCTGAAGTTGTATTTAAACATGCTTTAGCTAGTCAAGAACAGATGAAGCTTTCTCATTCATTTGAGAAATAGAGTATGTATCTCACTCCACCCCTGTTTCTGTGAAGGATACATTCCACCTGAAAATGTGGACAATACTGAACCCTATATTAAGTCAGGAAGCATAGCATCACACTGGAGGATCCAAAGAAGTTCACATCGCAGAAATGGGTGGGTTTGAGTGTGCATAAATGAAACCATGAATTTTGAATCAGTTGATAAGGGAGTAGTACTCTATTGTTAGTTTCTTTCCTATATTTATTTTTTCTCTTAAATGTCACAATGTCTGCAAGAGCAAATATATAAAAATAAAATATACAATATCAGTAGTATAGAAATTGAACCTGTTTCTGTGCAAGTGGTATGCCCTGATGAATGACACATTTGGCTACTTTCTGAGGCTGGGATCCTATTGATGCCCCATGTTAGCATGATCATAATGTGCAAGTGGCTGTACATTCTGGGGAGTCATGCAAGGGTGGGAAGTTGTGCAAAGAAAATGTTCATACTTGATTAGGTGGACGGGGGAGACAATTGGTCATTGCTCAGGGATGAATGCAGTCATTTGTTTGTAATTGCACAAGAGTTTATTCCTCATAATTTCACTAGAATATATTTGTGCTACACTAAAAGTATATAAAATGTTGGCCTTTATGCATTAATCTTAAATGAGATTTTACAAGAGTTATAAGAATTTTTAAGGAACGATTGCTCTTTCAATTTTGCAGTACTACCCAAGGCATGCCTTTACTTTCCTGAAAAGGCTTTGGATGTCATATCTGATCACTTACATTTTCTGTACAGGGTTGCTCTGAAGTGAAAAGCCCATGTACATAATGGCATATCTGTGTCTTTTGCCCTTTTCCTCTTGACTTTATTCACTTTCCATAAAATATAAAGTATTGTAAATAGCTATAGAGTGAGGAGACAAGTCAGATGAAAGTGAACAGAAGTAATGACTAAAATAGTAGTAATCTTGTCAGCATGTTACAACTGATACAGAAACTGATAATATCTGATTTCTGGTCAGGGGATACACTCATCTAAGTGGGAATATACTCATAATCGTTTGCACAGAATGCCACATGGTGACATAATTAATGAGTAGACAGAAGGGGGCTTTTTATCCTCAAAGATTTGACATGTTCCCATTACTCTCTATTACAAGGCTTCTGTTTTATTTCTTGATCAAATTGAATTGAAATAAGGGTTTGGAGAGAGCTTCCAGTCTGATTTCATGGAGCTGTCATGTAATGTTTTTGGGCGGACTCTAATGGGGTAACTGCTTGTTTGTCATTTTCACAATGAGTTTTGATGTGTACTTCTCTCCTAATTCATATATCTTTTTTCCCTCCAAAATAACTCTGAGTTAAAATTAATGTGCAAAAGCATAATTTACAATGTAGTCCATGTGACATATAACACTGTAATTCTAATTTCCATATGCAGCTGAAATAACCCACTGCTCCTGTCCTTTGTGTAATTAAAAGACAATGAAATGATTGTTTTCAAAAGTCATTTGAAATGATTTTCAAGAATGAGTGGAAACTGGAATAAATGAGAGTACTCCGCTGACCTGATAAGGCATGACAACCTGTATTCTTAGAGAGGAAAAGAATAGACAGATGTTGATGTGTATATGGGATCTACAGGTAGAAAGATCTCAGTGGAAATTACCAGCTGCTCAGTCATGCTGCAGGCATTCTGAAATCTGTTGCTGTCTACTGCACTTCAGTGGTTGGCAAGGCCTTGCTTTAGTTCATTCTTTTTTTTAGTCATCTGTATTGTCTCCTTCTCAAGCCCCAAAGGACCAAAATTCATCATAGCCGTCCCTGCATCAGAATCTGTGGCTAACTATGTACAGGCATCTTCTGTTGTTGTTGTTGTTGTTGTTGGATTTTTGAAAATATGTTCCCTCTGGCAAATGGCAACAGATTCAGAGTTAAAATCATAGACTGAGATTTCATATCATCCAAGTGTCCCAATTTGGCAGGGACAGTACCAATTAATCATCAGCCATCCTATTTTCAGCTGTTTTTAAAATGTCTCTCTTCTCCCATTTCCCCCTTTTGTCATCATTTTACTTGAATCTCTCTGCAAAATGGGTTAAAGTGCAAACGTATCTTGCACTCAGTTAAGTTAGCATAGAGGAGAGGAAAGAGTGGGATCCTGCTTTCCCTATTAGGCTGTGGTGAAAACGAACTGCTACGACATTGCCTAGTGCCTACCTTGTGTGTATTCTTCTTCATTATTACTGTCTTGACCATATGCTGATGTTGCTTACTCACACATGTCCTGATTTTCATCTGTGAAATGTTGGATGGTAAATTACCCCCTGCTAGATGTATGAGCTTTAATCAAGTTACCATTCCAGCACATTAGTGAAAGCAACTTCTTTGTTACCAAATATTATTTTAGAAAAATATCTCAAAATGTCACTCAATTGTTTAGCACTAAAACCCAACATAGCATACTAGTTGTTCACCACAACAGAATCGATGGGAAAACTTTATCATATTAAGTCCTTTCACTTCTATGGCAGCTTTTTCTTAGCAAAGAAGAAAGTGTTTCTTCTTGTTGTTATTTTGGTGTAAATTCTAAAATCTCTGGGAAGCTTGGCAGAGGGACTCATAGAAGTAGAAATGAGCCATGCTTATTAAGCTCAGGCTTAAGAACGAATTGGCAGCAATTAATCTATCTCTGTAACTGAATGGATGTGCCTTCCATGCCTTTCTCTTTCAGAATGCAGTACTGGGCCAGAAGGCTGGAGCAAGAGATTGATGGCGTGATGAGAATATTTGGTGGTGTTCAGGCACTCAAACGGGTAAGTTCTTGCTATGCTTTGCCTTCTCTTGCATTCCATTTTGATGTTCATATTTCTGGATAAAGCTGATTACATCCAAATAAATTGTGGACCTTCAGTACTGATAGACTCTGTATTACTGTAATTAGTATTACATAGGTTCATCACTCCATCTTGGGATAGTTTTGCCTTTTTTTGTCTGCAGGAAAGAATAAAGCTGACTTCGTTTTAATCAGTACATTATGTACCGACTTGGCAAAATTATTGTGTTTCTTTAAATTCTATTATAATCTGAAAGAATACTCTTTTGCCCACCCTGTTTGTGGGTCATGTGCAGGTATAGCTCAGTTAATGAAAGTTGTGTTCTTGGGAATTACATCTTTAATAGATATTTTGGTACCAGAGGTAGAAATAGGGAATAGATTCCTACAAATGAACCAACCAAGTCAGGGAAATATTGCATAAGTAAAAAAAAACATTTTGAACTTTCTAGAGACTTCTTCAAGGCTTCCTAGAAAATGCACCAACTTCCATTTTACTAATGATTTCCACTTTGATGGCAAAAGAGATCTGTGCTTCCCTCCCCCCCCCCAAAAAAAATATTTTTTTATCAAACCTTTATTAGGAAAGTGGAGGTAGAGGTACAAGGGAAGGAAAAGGAAAAAATTGTTAGTTGCATCTTTACAAATGTCTAGTATGCCGTGAGGAGAAAACAAAGAGGGTGAGGGTTGTTGTGGTATTTATATATTTATTTACCCAACTTATATCCCATCTTTCTCAACTCCAAAGGGGACTCAAGGCAGCTTTACATATAGGCAACTATTCAATGCCTTTAAAAAACATACAATTCAAATGGACATTTAAATTAAAAATGAAAATAAAAATGAAAATTAATGCATATTAAAACATTTAAAAATATTATATTCACTATTAAAAACCATACCAGGTATGGGGAGTTCTTTTAGAAAATTATCATTGTTACAGCTAAGTCTTCATCTCTATTTCTTGAACACCTATTTCATAAAATATTGAGAATTCTAGCGTTTTAAATTTTAAATCCATTGGTTGTATCTTCGTATGTCTTCTCACATAGTCTCCTGATCTTCATATATTCTTTCCCAGTTCTTCTTCAATGGAAATTAAAAATAATTTTTCATAACAGATTATTTCACATTAAATATTTTCTTAAATGATTTATTATTAATATCTACAAAGGAAGTTCTACAATTTCATTTAGATAGTTAGTGTTTATATCATTTTATTATTATGCTCACTCTCTTTCTGTATTTACATCAAATGTATTTTCTATCTATAACTCTTGGATTGAAAAACTCTTCTGATTTAACCACAATCGCTCAGTATGATAATATTCTTGCAGTTCATTTTTAAGACCTTTCCCTGATAGCCTTTATTAGGAAAGTGGACCTTCAGTACTGATAGACTCTGTATTACTGTAATTAGTATTACATAGGTTCATCACTCCATCTTGGGATAGTTTTGCCTTTTTTTGTCTGCAGGACTTTCTGAAGGCTAGCTCTCTCAAACTTCTCTTTCTCAAGGTTTTGTTCCCACTAGCCCATATCTTTTATATCAAACTGTCTCTCTCTTTTTGTATATACATACATTCATATATATCTGTGCTTTTTTAACATACTGGGTATATCTGGTGAGACTTATCCCCCCCCCCCCAACCACCACCATCATTTCCTCCTTTTTTGTTCCTCTACCCTATTCTGAAAGCAGCTGCTGTCTATCCTACTGGTTGACACATACAACTATAACAAGATCAACTAGAATAGAACTCAGTTCTTTCCAAGTTCAAGTTTTATGGTGCTGCTCAGACATACTTCTGCAACCCAACATCAAAATTTGTGTTTTCTAGCCCTATATTATCACTGTTTTGAGGCTGATGCTACTGAAAGATTTTTTAGCTAGACAGAAGACAAGGAAGAAAGGTAGACACAGAGAGACTTTGTAAATGAGAGCTTCTTTAAAACAAGCATTGTTCACTGGGGTACGCCTGTACAGTCGTCCCTCCATATTTACAGTTTTCACTTTGTGGATTTGATTAAAATGTTTTCTCTAAGAATCCCTAGATGCTCCAGTATAACTCTATAGTCATGCTGGAGGGCCTAGAGATTTCTGGAGAAAAGATCATTCTAGCAATCTCTTAGTTATCCAATGAAATCCTATGTTCAACTTCAAGCAGAAGATGAACATAGAGCAGTGCTGGAAGACCTAGAAATTTCTAGAAAGGAGCTCTTTGAAGTTAAAACATAGCAATGTCTTTGTTTGCAGTTTTCTTTTTTCATTTGGTGGGGGGGGGGGAGGTTCTGTGCCTCTTACTCCAGCAAATGTGGAGGACTGACTGTATCTATATGCTGCATGTTTTTGTTCAGACATAATGGAAAGCCTTTGTCTTACATTGTATGGCAAAATCTAGAAAGTCTCACATTGTATGAGTGAGCCATGGCAAAACTTAGGCTCATGTACTCTCTCCCTGCTTGTGCTCTATCTTTTCAAGCCTGGGGATCAAAAACTTCCATTTTTATTTCTGAATTAACACTAGTTTCTTATGCTGTCTGAACTTGTGGAATATGTTTTGCTATACTGTAGTTTGCAAGAACAAACCAAGATCTGAGTCTTTATTTGTCTTTATTTCTTAGGATTGAAATTCTAACACAGAGTGTTAGGTCTCACTAGTCTGACAGCAACACAGACTTTTTCCAGTCTTGGTTCTGAAGCAGCTTGCAAGGAACAAAAGCTGAGATACAGATGTTAACTGTATAAGAAAAGTGACTACTAACAATAGTTCTTAATCAAAGCCCCTATATATCTACACAATATACAGCACAGTCATAGCCATGATGCATATTTTGGTGCTCTGGGACTCACACTGTCCTTTCTTAATGTTCTGACTCAGTCTTTTGTGTCTTCATGATTAAAAATAGCAGTAACATTGTCAGAAGAAATAAAGGTCTTAAACCTGCAGATCTGTCAAACATCATCATTTGCAAGACTAGAATTCATTTTTTTTTTGTTTCTTGGGGCTTATCTCTATGTGCATGTACGTATGTGTCATACAGAAAAAGAGACAAAGAAACAAACACATATTAGAAGAAATCCTATTGCTAGTTTCAACTAGAATAGACCTATACAATCAGTTGAATTTACCTATATGTTAACTCAACAGTTGATTCAGCAAGTCTATACTAGCTGATATTAATTAACAGGATTCTGGCAATAATCTGTAAGGTAGGTCTTCCTCCTTTTCCTTTTTAACACCTCCCCAATTCTAATGCAGTAACACACCAGTAAAAAATGGGGAAACATCATTTTGCCCTTTAATTTTTTTGTCTTCTTATTTTTGTTTGTTTGCTGTAGGTGGATATGCATTTGTGCTTTGGTTATTGACTGAAATCTCATAACTGCTCTGCCATATGAGGCATGACATTTAGTATCAGAAATATGGCAGCAGAAAATGTAGACATGCTGAGTATTTTTTCTGAGTTGTGGCACAAAAAATATTTTTAACACTTGACTCATTTGGACACCCACTAATACAATATGGAGTAGCCAGGGTGGGGGGGACGGGGGACACAATGGGAGGGATCACTACCTGGCCCCCTAAAGCAACCAGCATTCACTCATATTATATAGAGGGCAGGCGGATGGGTCAACAGAAAGGGGTCTGGTTGAATAAAACAGTTGGCTCCACCCCCTTTCACTTGCTGAAGCTAGTGCTATGTGCCCAGCCATGTAATTAGGGTCTGATCATATCCATGTGAGGTCCAAATTCCCCCTTCCTCATCAAAGTGACAATGCAGCTTGACATCCAGAAGCATGACTATCTATGAATGTTTTCTTGCATCTAGAAATCATAAGCATGACTTGCTAGTATTTTTATACAGAACGCATCTTGTTAATCATAGAATCATAGAATCAAAGAGTTGGAAGAGACCTCATGGGCCATTCAGTCCAACCCCCTGCCAAGAAGCAGGAATATTGCATTCAAAGCACCCCTGACAGATGGCCATCCAGCCTCCGTTTAAAAGCTTCCAAAGAAGGAGCCTCCACCACACTCCAGGGCAGAGAGTTCCACTGCTGAACAGCTCTTACAATCAGGAAGTTCTTCCTTATGTTCAGGTGGAATCTCCTTTCTTGTAGTTTGAAGCCATTGTTCCAATGCGTCCTAGTCTCCAGAACAGTAGAAAACAAGCTTGCTCCCTCCTCCCTGTGGCTTCCTCTCACATATTTATACATGGCTATCATATCTCCTCTCAGCCTTCTCTTCTTCAGGCTAAACATGCCCAGTTCCCTAAGCCGCTCCTCATAGGACTTGTTCTCCAGACCCTTGATCATTTTAGTCGCCCTCCTCTGGACACATTCCAGCTTGTCAATATCTCTCTTGAATTGTGGTGCCCAGAATTGGACACAATATTCCAGGTGTGGTCTAACCAAGGCAGAATAGAGGGGTAGCATTACTTCCCTGGATCTAGACACTATGCTCCTATTGATGCAGGCCAAAATCCCATTGGCTTTTTTTGCCACATCACATTGTTGGCTCATGTTTAACTTGTTGTCCACGAGGACTCCAAGATCTTTTTCACACGTACTGCTCTCGAGCCAGGCATCCCCCATTCTGTATCTTTGCATTTCATTTTTTCTGCCAAAGTGGAGTATCTTGCATTTGTCACTGTTGAACTTCATTTTGTTAGTTTTGGCCCATCTCTCTAATCTGTCAAGATCGTTTTGAATCTGCTCCTGTCCTCTGGAGTATTGGCTATCCCTCCCAATTTGGTGTCGTCTGCAAACTTGATGATCATGCCTTCTAGCCCTTCATCTAAGTCGTTAATAAAGATGTTGAACAGGACCGGGCCCAGGACGGAACCCTGCGGCACTCCACTTGTCACTTCTTTCCAAGATGAAGAGGAAGCATTAGTGGGCACTCTCTGTGTTCGTCCACTTAACCAATTACAGATCCACCTCACCGTAGTTTTGCCTAGCCCACATTGGACTAG